ATTGTAATATTAGTTTTCTTGGATTGTAAAGCGCCTTTGATCATCCCATAAATTCATTGGAATCACATGGTCAAAAGATAAAAAAAATGTTTAAATCTTGAATTATTATTTCAGGCTTCCTATAGAAAGTCTAGAAATTGTGGGTATTAATTATAGAATTACTTCTCATTAATTGTTTGTTATCCTAATTCATGCAGATATCACAGAGAAAATACTTTTGCCACAAGTACCTTAGATATGTATGGAATGAGGACCAAGGAAGATTTCATTTTTTGAGGTATTTATGATCAAATACATTTGCAGTAGGTAATCTGCCAGTACTTAAGGTTATTTGTTTGGAATCAAATCTTAGCAAAAGGGGGCCAAAATACATCATAGTAAAATGATAAGTCAATTTGTTATGTTATGTAAAATGGCACTCTTTTTCTTGCAATGCAACATTTATAAGTATTATGTGTAAGTTAAACTTTGTATTTAGTACAGCTCTACATGAACTTTTGCATGAGATATGCCATTAACATCATCGTCATCATTATCTGGCTGTAAATCATTGGAAGTTCAGTTATGTATAAAACATACATGCTTGTTTGCATCAATGTTTATTCATGGATTTAAGTTTTCCACTCAGGCACAAATTAAATTGGAATGTCCTTAATACATCTATGATGAAGAGAAGGTAACAAATCTGAGGTGCTTTAGTTACATACAGTGTACATAGTTAAGAATTATTTTATTGATTATATTTTGGGGATTAGGGGCCTTGATAGTGGATCTCACCCTGGATTATTCTACCAATGTCCATCTGGATTATCATTAGATGAAGTTCAAATCAGGTAGGGGCAATGATCAACTTGTTCCTCTGCTTGTTCAAATCTGGTTCAATTTTAGTTATGACACCAATACATTACTGCACTATATTACACCTCTACTTGTATCACATTGCTATTACTACAAACATCTCAAAGTAACTACCACAATTTCTTTCCTTCTTCCTTGACACCCCATTTGAACAGTTGAAACCCTATTTGCACTTAGAAATGCTCACAATTATAATGAACACTACCACAAAATCCTTGAATGTGATTGGACCACTAATAGGACAGTGTATCCATTGCTTGTAATTGGATTGTGTGATAGGAGAGTTTATGCATCTTGCCTGTATAATGGGACAGCAAGCATTTTGTTTGCTGTGAATTTCACCGAGTCAACTTTAGATTATGAAAATGTATTTACTGGTGGCCATTTTGTTTCCCCAATTATGTTATAGTTTTGATTGACTGGTAATAGGACTTCATGTTTTCCAATTCCGTCTGTAATATATGACTGTGAATATATGAAAATCATATATGTATATATAATCATATTTGTGATTACAGATGTTGTTACTCTCTGTGAGTTCATTAAGTCCTATCACAAGAATCTGCAAAAAAATGTTTACAGACTACAAACTATTACTCACAGCACAGTAACTATAGATACATGGGTATGTGCAAAATTAAAATATGATATAAATAAATAGTTAAATACAGAAAAAACTTTCTGTAGACAACTTATTAGAAAATATAATTTCTGATGTTTGAGTAACTTGGGTACAAATTAGTCAGAAATTAATATTCTGATGGCATGTTGAAGAGGTTCGTGTGGCATCATGGAAGTTTCAAATTATTTAAGCATTTCACAGGAAAATTACGTCACTCAAGGTCAGTCAGTCTCATGTTTGACCAATAAACTTGACAAAATCTCGTGTTGTGTATTTGCAGCAAAATGAATAAGTTAATCAACCTATTCCCTGTGGCTAACAACATTTGTCTTCATTGCTAAAGCCCACAGCTGAAATGAAAATGATGGAATTTGAACAAAATAAGGTGTAGGAGAACAATGCAAAATGTTTACTCAGTAACCACGCAGGAAGTCTGGACACTAGAGACAAATAATGGTCTCTTGCGTAAGCCACAACCGTGATTAAAGCAAAAAGGTGTGGCTTAGACACAAGTCTTTACGGTATACAGGTTTTATTAATGAAGTCATAAATACCTATTGAGATTCACCCTAGAGTTTCTCCTTCAAGATCCTTTCTCCTCAAGTCATCAAATGCAATGATTATACCAGATAAGGGAATGGAATATTGGTTGATTTATGTGTAATATGTAGAATTTGTCCAACCACAGTGAACAGCTATTTATTTACCATATTACAAGCATTCCCTCTCTACAAGGCTTATATGCCCGGATTCAGTCAGGTTCATAAAGGTTCTTAATGTTTCAGCTCACAGACCCCACTCTTAAAAACATTAAGACTTGGGGCTGTGGCTAGTGTGGCGAGCAAAAAAATCCCCTTAATGACTATCAAGTGAACCTCTCAAATTGCCCTTCCTTAAAAAAAATAGCAGACCATGGGAATCCTTTCATCCTTTTGCAATTTTCTGAATAGGCAATTTTTCTCAACATCTTGGCCTAGCATGGCCATTTAATATAAGCTCCCTAACTCTTTCTATTAAATAGTTAGTATAGGTAATCACATGATTTTGAGTCCAATTTGGAATAAATAAGCACAAGTAAATTTTTTTAAAGACTAACAAAATTGCATGAGCCCGTAGGGTGAGTGCAATTTGTGGTCTTTGAAAAAATTAACAAGTACTTGTTTATTCCAAATTGCACGAGAAAAATCATGTGATTACGTGTTAATAATATATATGGAAAAATAAGAGATGGCTTATCATAATTAAGCATAGGTAAAGCATGGGCATCAAGTGCAAAAACAATTAATTCAAACCATGCATTCAGTCAAAACAACCGCGTACGATCAAAACAATAATATGCAATGATATCTTCACATCTTTAAGGTGCAAAAAAGTTCAAAGTCCGGCTAAACAGTTCAAGGAATTGTCTGTGTCCGAATGACTTTCAGTGAGATAGAATCGTCGTTTCCGAGGTTCAACCATGTTTGTTTTTAATTTTGGCATTGGACCGCTCAAGCGAAGTGTTAAGCTGGGTCAGCTCATAATTTTCTATTTCCTTGGATATTTCCCTTCTCTAAACCACTTTTTCCAAACCAACGACCAAAAAGCAGTGCTTTTTACAGTGTTTTTTTCATCTGCAGTGGCAAAAGAAAACCAACTTAAAACACTGGCCATTGTTTTGCTTGCAAATTTTTAAATTTTCAGATTTTGTTGCGACATCCAGGGCTTGCATTTGATTGGCTATCTGTGAGTTTCTTTGGTTATTGACCGGTCAGAATGTCTGATTTGTTACTCTCTTTGCACTGAATTAACCCTCTTTTGCACTGAATTAACTCTCTTGAACACTGAATTACCTGAAAACTGCTTTTATCTTAACCAATCAGAACTGAGTAACTTTTCCATGTATATTATTAATTTAAGAAAACAAGTGTTTCTGAAATGCAATTTTGATTTAAAAACCCATTTTAATCCTTTCATATAACTTGTGAAAGGTGATAAATCTTTCAGAACAAGAAACTGGTTTCTCACAACTACAGTAAATAGTTGACCTTTTGTGTGAAATAGCAAAGTTTCCCACAGCAAAATGAAAAACATGTGGTTGCAAGGAAAGGGGTAAAAATTTCACTTGATTTTGCAATGGAAATTTGAAACCTAATGTAACATTTCACAATTCAAGTGTAATTTCTATGAGCAAAAAAGAGTTGCATTTACATAGCTTTATTGTTTTTCTGACATTCCAATAGGGCATATTGTTTTCTCATTGGGGAAATGATTTTAGAAATTAGACTTCTTCCAAAAGAAATACTGAACAGACATGAAAAGTAGATTGTCTGTAACTTATAAGTAGAGTGTCAAAGTAGGGAATTTTTTTCCCAGGTTTGTGACAAGCAAAAAAACCCATTTTACTGTCTCATTGCAGAGCATACAGAGCTTTTAAAATCTATTTACATATTAGTCATGCAGGATGGGTGTCAAATATGAACCTGCTGCTGACCTTACTCACTGCACAGTCTCTGTAGCTCATTGCATTGGTTTAGTGAAAACATGACAAACATTTTACCCTGAGAACAAAGTATCCCTTGAGTGAGTTGAAAACCTCAAGACAGTTAACAAATTATTTGTGGATATCAGATTGCCTTACTTCTTGTCATCCAGTAGAATCACCTCAATTCCTGTGTACATTCTTAACAGTAAAAATTCCGAACAAATTTATTCAAAATGGTTTTTAAACATGCAAAGAGATTATTTTCAGTGGACCAGGAAAACACCTGAAAATGAAATGGTCACATTATCCAAATGTGGTAGAGTCTCATTAGAAATGTATGGGCAATTTCTAGTGATTGCTGTACATCTTTAAGTGGAATAGCAAAATCATTTTGTCTCATGTCTAATTCTTGGAAATTCAAGCTTTCTTAATCTTTAATTTATTTTCATTTGGTGCTCCAAAATTTTTATTTTGAAGAAGAAAGTCTGTTGTTGTTTTTTTACAATGGTGTTTTGCTATTACAAGAATGTAGACTGTATCTTATTTTAAAATGAAACTGAACTTTAAGATTAACATTTTCATTAGTGTCAGAGCTTACGACAGAAGAGATTAAAAATTTCTGGTGAGGTCATTTAATGGTTTGACATTCAAGTCTTTTGGCTTCTTGGATAAAGACTTGGAACAGAAGGCCTGTAAAATGCCAAATAGAGCATTGTGCCAAAAAGAGCAAGATGCATAAATTATGACTGTGAATGTAATCAGAACCATGTGCTACTTAATATTTGTCACGCAAGACATGGCTCTGTCAAACTGCATTAGACTTAAGTTTCAATTTTCAGCAATCACCATGTGTTACTTTTGATTAAAAAAATGAACTGCGGCAGGAATATTAAAGCATCTAGTGATTGCAGATGACAATTTAGTAGAAATCCACCTTGGTAAGTTGACTGTTTTTTTTTTTTGTTCCCTCTCCACACTTATTATGACAATATTCATCTCTTAAGTTGACTGTAATTACCTATTCTCATTTCTAAAATGTAATCGATTTCAGCTAAATGATATTTTAAATTCATGAATTATCTCAGTGACAGTAGGACCTTGGGTATGCGATTGCTGATTACCAAAAGAGCTACAAAAATATCTTCATACATTTTCTGCTACAAGACAGGACCCTTCCTAACTTGTTGCTTAAGTTACCAAATTCTTTACTAAGTCCCCATGTATAAAGATACAAAATAAAAGACAATAGTATGACTTCAACCATTTGAACTGTAACCTTAAAACTTGTGTAAAACATATGTCAAACAAGCTTCATAATTCCCAGCTTTCAGGTAGACAGATGCACAACAGTGACAGTATTACAACATAACAGATTGTTATAAAATAAAGCTATATCCCTATGTCAAATCCAGTGCAACACTGGAATTCATTCTTCCCAGACAGAGTGCATGTTTTTAAATAGGAATGAAAATCCACAAATCTTCTGTCTGTATGGTCCGCACTTGAGGCAATCTTATTTAGCACATGCCAAACAGAGTGTGACTTAAGGTGATCTTATTTGACATGTACATTTTCTGTGCACGCTAAATAGAGTGCAAGACTTTAGGCAAACTTACTCTACATGTGTGCTTTTGGTATGTGCTGGAAGAGTATAATACTTTAGGCAATCTTGCTTAACATGTGTGCTTTAAGTGTGTGCCAAAAAGAGTGCGAGTCTTGAAGTCAATCTTACTTGACATGTGCATTTTCTGTACGTGCTGAGTGTGAGATTCAGAGGCACTCTTACTCAACATATACTCTTACTGTGCATGCCAAATAGAGTGCAAGACTTAGTCAATGTACGCTTTTCCTACTATTTGCATTATTTCTCTCTCAAAAGCTTATTTTGATTACCTTACAAGGCCATTTGTCACAACTAATAACATTTTCATTATAAGATCTAGTTGTTGTCCTTGTTGTGTTGGAAAAATATGGGAAAGGTTCTTGTTACCTTTATGTAAACAACACTACTTGAGTATAGGCTAACCAGGGTAAGAATTAAGAGACTCACAGAACTCAATTTAAGCAATGTTACACCGGGGGATGTAAGCGTCTTTTCAGCTATCAAAAAGGCCAGCCATACCTGGGTGACAAATACTGGGCTTCAATTGCATAATCAGTCATAATTTGTGCATCATGCTCTTTTGGGCAGGGTGCTCTATTCAACATTTTACGAGGCCCCATCCTCTGTAACTATCTTCAATGTTACATGTACTTGATAGCAGGGGATGTAAAGAGAGTCAATACAGTATTAGCAAGAGTATCTGCAATCGTTATTGAATATAGTACTTGTTGGATAGGGAGACAAGAAGGCTAATAAAGCCAATGTGAGGTGCCATGTTCAAATAAATTATGCACTAGAATAAAATTATCAAGACTATTTTGACAAGATTCAGTGACTTCAGTCAGGAAGTTAGTGGTTTTTCCCACAACTCCTATAATTTCTGCTACTGGGTGCTTGTGTGTGTCTTTGACTTTAGCTCTTTATCAAGGTAATGCCTCTGAGATAAAATTGCCACTCACATTTATATCAAACTTTGCCCTTTAGTTGTTCATTTTTATTCATCTCGTGTATATATATATTTTGAAAACTTACCTTAATTTATTTTAAGTAACAGTTTGAACAATTTATTGTTTCTTATTTTGCACAATTTAAGTAGAAGAAGTCTTGATTTATAAAACTGAAATTACAAAACTTTTAAAAAAGAATTGAAAACAAGAGGAAAAATTTTTACCATGCTTTGTTTCCAAAAGTTATGAGCAACCTCTTTCAGGCCAGCCATAACCATCAAGAGCAAGCATCATTTTGTCATTGTTGATGGTGCAATCAGGCAAAAATCCATGCAAAAGTAAATAGTGTATATTTACCCTGTAACTTCCTGTTTGGATATGCAATATTAAGAAGGGAGGTCTCTTTGTCTTTGACAGACAGAAAATGTATGGCCCAAATGTTATTGATGTTACTGTAAAGTCATATTGGAGGCTTTTCCTTGAAGAGGTAAGGTTTTTCTCTTACTTTACTTTAATCATGCAATGAAACATGAAATGTCCGCTTATTGATATGAGTTTCTTT